GTGTGTGTGTGTGTGTGTGTGTGTGTGTGTGTGTGTGTGTGTGTGTGTGTGTGTGTGTGTGTGTGTGTGAGCTAGAATGTTTGTCAAGTAGCATTTAATTACCAAGTGGCTAACCGGCAGGGTTATTGTTAGAATATGAATTGTTCTATCACCAAACGTTATAAAAACAGTTGGCTGCTGAACAAAACCATTTAATGCAAACAACTTTTGTGTGTACTCAGTACTCTGTGCATGAATGGACATAAATAGACCTGCAAAGTCTGGTTATGGTACATTGCTGCAATTGCAAGAGCTTCTTGCTGGATTGTGAAAACATTATGGAGTTACCTTTTTGTTAAAATAAAATTGGTTCAGAAAATATACTGAAAACTGGAATTTATGCAGTTCCTAAATCCACCTATTTTACTATTCAAGTGCTCCTGTGTGTCAAGTGTTACAAGCTGATTTGCAGAACGAATGTTACTATGACAAAGCTAAAATTTTGACACACTGAAAAGGTTCATGTTTATAACATTTCTATCCTTCCTTGTAGGTATATTGAACCTGCCAGCGGTAGCTCTGGGTTTCATCACTGGAGGTTTTTTGCTGAAGCGTTTCAAGTTGGGTATTGTTGGAGCAGCCAGGGTGGCAATTAGTGCTTCTTTGGGGTCGTTTTGCCTGCTTGCCGTTCAGATTTTCGTCCAGTGTGAAAATGCAGAGGTGGCCGGTCTCAGCATGTCATATCAGAGGTGAGTGGAATGGACACACAAGCCTATTTGTTAAGCTAGGTTACACTAAATTTTTGGAAGTTAAATGCTTTATTTTAGTCTTATAAACTAAAAATATGCTCATAAATGTCTCTGACAGTGTTAATGTGTCTTTACTTGTCTGTCTGTACCAGAGTCCCTCAAGTGTCCTACAACCCACAGACTTTGCTGTCTCAGTGCAATGGACATTGCTTCTGCTCAGTGAAGCACTGGGACCCGGTCTGTGCATACAACGGCATGACTTATGCCTCACCCTGCCTGGCCGGCTGCCAGACCTCCACCGGAATGGGCAAAGAAATGGTGATGATGGTCTAGACAAACAGAGAGCTTAGAACAGATAAAGATTTACTGTGAATAAAAAAACCCCCAGCTCAAACTCACCGACAGACCACAATTAAGGCTGATTTTTAACCTTTTCTTCTTGGTTTTTAGGTGTTTCATAACTGCACCTGCATTAATGAGGCAGGACTAGCTGCAAACGCATCTGCAGTGCTGGGCCAGTGTCCCAGGAAGGATGATTGTGACATAAAATTTAAAATCTACATGGCGTTGTCTGTAATTGGGTCCTACATTTCTGCCTGTGGAGGAACGCCAGGATACATTGTTCTGCTCAGGTGCGAGACACAATTTGACTAAAGAACATCTGCTTCTAAGTTTGTGGTTAAGCAGATGTTCAAGCTTTTAGGGGTAACAAAAATCCATTTTTTTTTTGTGGAGTTCTAGTTTGGCAAACATGTATATACAATATGTACCCAGTGTTGGGAAGGTTACTTTTAAAACATATTCCACTACAGATTACAGAATACATGCCCCAAAATGTACTTGTAATGTATTCCATTATGTTACTCAATGAGAGTAACGTATTCTGAAAACTTGCCGCAATCTTGTATAGAAAACTATTCCGCATGGATACAAAACGGGTCCACGCCGGGCCCGCGTAGTAAAGGGGCCTCTGGACCTCATTTTTTTGAATAACAACTGAAGAAGAGACCGCTGTGTAATCCATTTATTTCAACAAAGTAACTGTATTCTGAATACCACCTTTTTAAACAGTAACTGTAACGGAATAGAGTGACTCATATTTAGTATTTTAAATATGTAACGCCGGTACATGTATTCTGTTACTCCCCAGCACTATATGTACCATATACTGTTTATGGTATCACTGAAACTGGAACCAAAGGAGATCTACTCCTCAAAAGACCTGTTGTTTTAAAATGTATTAGGAAAAAGTTAGCGACTCTCTTTTTAAAAAAGAGAACCACTATGTACACTAAATATGCCTACAATTGCCATAAATTTTGGCAGTTGATGATTTCTTTTTTTTTTTACTCTTTAAATTATCTGATACTATATTAATTGAATTTAAAGTTCCAATCCGATACCACCTTATTGTGTGTTTTAATGCTCACATGTGTATCTGATATGGTTTAATTTGATCAACAATTCAGGTCTATACAACCAGACTTGAAGTCGCTGGCTTTGGGTATGCAGACACTGATCGTAAGAACTCTGGGTGAGTACTAAAACTAAAACCCAACCCACACATCGAGCCTTTAGGGGTAAAACTGTTTTTTAATCACATGTGATTTGTTTTACAGGTGGCATCCCTCCACCTATATATTTTGGAGCACTGATTGACCGAACCTGTTTGAAGTGGGGTACAAAGCATTGCGGTGGCCGTGGAGCATGCAGACTCTATAATGCTAATGCGTTTAGGTACAGTTAAATCTTCATCATTGTGCTTGAATATGTCACTTGTAATGTACCACAGTTTAATCACCTCAATGCAGTGATTTCTAACCAGGGAAGTGACAATCTTTAGATTTTATAGAATTTTGTGTACCTAAACTTGTACACAGACAGTTTGACTTGTACAAATATATGTTTTATGTACCGGTAAAAAAAAATGTTTAACATACAAATTAGAGCAAGCAATCAGACAGATGAATTTTCAGTAATTTGTTACGATGTACTTTACTTTCAGACTTACATACCTAGGAATGATTACTGGACTCTACTTCTTGGCCAACACAGTGTGGGGCTACCTCTACTACAGCATTGTCAAGCGACAGAAGAAAATAGCACTGAAGAATCAGTCCAAAGAAAATGGACAGGAGAGTAATGCAGTGACCAATGGACATGCCAATATCAACATTGCAGACATAGACGACATGGGCACGGAGTGCACTATTTAATGTGTTTTAGGAAGACTACACTACTGTTAAATATAAGTGAATGCCTGAATATTGTGCTGCTTCCATACTGGACCAAATATTGGTCATTCTACAGCATCAGTACTTTTCGGAATTAAGCAGTAAACCTTGTTCTTTCGGGTAAAATGTAACAAAGCTCTAAAATGTAACAAAGCTTACTAAAACTAAAATGACACATTTTATACAGTACATCATAGGTGTCAAACTCTGGCCCGCGGGCCAAATTTGGCCCGCAGCCTAATTACATTTGGCCCACGAAGCCAATACTAAATTATTATTAGAGCTGGCCTACTGGTATTATACAGCTAATATATATATTGTTTAGTATTAAGCTTTGCTTGTTCCATATTCAGTTTTTCAGCAAAACTTGTTTGAGTCCATAAGAAGAGATTCATTCTTAAATCTGGAGGAAGATTTTTTTTTCAGTAAATATTAACATTAGCCCGCGACCTTGTTCCAGTTTTGAATTTTGGCCCACTGTGTATTTGAGTTTGACACCCCTGCAGTACAAGAACATGCAGTCAAGAAAACAGAGCAGGGACACATGCTTTTCTTAATATCTGTCAGCAACACACCTGAGCAGAAACACACAGTTCATGTATGCTGAGACAAAGTAAGAAGAAAACGTGTCAGATTTTCGAAACAAGCTTGTCTCTGATCCTCTGTTTAAACTCAAGCAGCATTAGGTCAGGTAAAGCTAACAATGTCTTACCCTACAAGCTTATTTTAAAAGTGATTTTGTGGAGTACTAGTTTGATAGACATGTATATACTATATGTACCACATACTGCTTGTGGTAGCATAACCTGGTAATATTTTTTT